AATCCTACATCTTATTGTCCTACACCAACCCTACATCAACCTTCATCTAAGTGTCCTACATCAATCCTACAACTGTCCTACACCAACCCTATGTCTTAATGTCCTACATCAATCCTACATCTTATTGTCCTACATCTTATTGTCCTCAACCAACCCTACATCTTATTGTCCTACATCAATCCTACAACTGTCCTACACCAACCCTACATCTTATTGTCCTACATCAATCCTACAACTGTCCTACACCAACCCCACATCTCATTGTCCTACACCAACCCTACATCTTATTGTCCTACATCAATCCTTAAACTGTCCTACACCAACCCTACATCTAAGTGTCCTACATCAATCCTACAACTGTCCTACACCAACCCTACATCTTATTGTCCTACATCAATCCTACATCTTATTGTCCTACACCAACCCTACATCTTATTGTCCTACATCAATCCTACATCTTATTGTCCTACATCAATCCTACATCTTAATGTCCTATACCAATCCTACATCTCATTGTCCTACATCAATCCTACATCTTAATGTCCTACATCAATCCTAAAACTGTCCTACACAAATCCTACATCTTATTGTCCTATACTTATCCTACAGATTAACTGTCCTATCGTAATCCTACAGATTAACAGTCCTATCGTAATCCTACAGATTAACTGTCCTATATCAATCCTACAGATTAACTGTCCTACAGTAATCCTACAGATTAACTGTCCTATACTAATCCTACAGATTAACCGTCCTATATCAATCCTACAGATTAACTGTCCTGTACTAATCATACAGATTAACTGTCTTATAGTAATCCTACAGATCAAATGTCTTATATCAATCCTACAGGTTAACTGTCCTATATCAATCCTACAAATTAACTGTCCTATATCAATCCTACAGATTAACTGTCCTATATCAATCCTACAGGTTAACTCTCCTGTACTAATCCTACAGATTAACTGTCCTATATCAATCCTACAGATTAACTGTCCTATATCAATCCTACAAATTAACTGTCCTACAGTAATCCTACAAATTAACTGTCCTTCAGTAATCCTACAAATTAACTGTCCTATATCAATCCTACAAATTAACTGTCCTACAGCAATCCTACAAATTAACTGTCCTACAGTAATCCTACAAATTAACTGTCCTATATCAATCCTACAGATTAACTGTCCTATATCAATCCTACAGATTGACTGTCCTACAGTAATCCTACAAATTAACTGTCCTGTACTAATCCTTCAGAGACTGATTCTTTGATTACAATCCCACATCAATCCAATTCATGTAAACTTTGACTTCGTGTGAGATGATTATATGTACAAGTCTACATTTCCATAGAATTTGACAAATAGTATATTTTCATCAAGTATATCTAGAAATCAATAAGGGCTGGTTTGTAAACAAACCCTCACAGTTCACCATTCATAGTCTTATCTGAAATCAATATAGTATTGCAGCATTTCTGCAAGTCTGCCATGTGTTCCAAGACGAGATCAGCACTAGGCTCTTAACTGGCTTAACATTGACGACTTTTACAATCAGCCTCTGTGCCTATTACCAACTAATATTACAAATTATAAAGGGGAAATATCCAAATCCCCCCTAATTTGAGGGTTCTGAATCCCACAATCACATCACCATTAGTAATATTGGTTGATAATCCAGTCACCACTAATCCCACTATCCAGTCATCATTAATCCCACTATCCAGTCACCACTAATCCCACTATCCAGTCACCAATAATAGTCACCATTAATCTCACTATGCAGTCACCATTAATAGTCACCATTAATCCAACTATGCAGTCACCATTAATCCCACTATGCAGTCACCATTAATCCCACTATGCAGTCACCATTAATCTCACTATCCAGTCACCACTAATCCCACTATCCAGTCAACACTAATCCCACTATCCAGTCACCACTAATCCCACTATCCAGTCACCATTTATCCCACTATCAAGTCATCATTAATCCCACTATCCAGTCACCACTAATCCCACTATCCAGTCACCAATAATAGTCACCATTAATCCCACTATGCAGTCACCATTAATAGTCACCATTAATCCCACTATGCAGTCACCATTAATCCCAATATGCAGTCACCATTAATCCCACTATGCAGTCACCATTTATCCCACTATCCAGTCACCATTTATCCCACTATCCAGTCACCATTAATCCCATTATCAAGCCAGTCACTACTTATCTCACTATTCAACCAGTCAGCACTATTTCCACTTTCCAGCCACAACTACTACTCCCTTATTTGCTTGTATGAAACATTAAGGCATCATTCCCATGGCATATGCTTTATACCAGGAAATTTTTGCCTGTTTAATTTTTGCCCTTTTTGTCCATGAACAGGAAGGATCAATTTCAGATGGGTGTGAAAATTTGATACACTTATATAGCCTTTTATATAATACTCAGAGGGGGAAATAATAAGAATTAGTGTGTATTGAAACAAGCCTTTTATATAATACTCAGAGGGGGAAATAATAAGAATTAGTGTGTATTGAAACATGGCTGAAAATAACCTAGGGGGAAAATCTCCTTGTATACAGAAGATAGCTGGAGTCTCTGATAGCTGAGTCACAAGCAAAATGACAGAACGATTAGATGACCATACATTAAAGCAGAAATGGTTGTAATCATTTTCAATGGACCATTTCCTGTTATACAAACTAGTATAAAATTATGCATTCCGTCTGACTGGACAATTTCCTGTTATACAATCTACCAGTAAAATGTATTTATCATAAACTTTTTTGGTACAAGTTAGCCGTCATGTAACAATCTGCCTGATATTCCAATGTTTGAGGTTCCAGTGAGAAGGCATGATTACCACATGTCCCTTATATAGTCAATGTGTTGGTAGTGTTGTAGTCTATACTCAATGGGTGTTATAGTCTATACTCAATGTGTTGGTAGTGTTATAGTCTATACTCAATGTGTCAGTAGCGTTATAGTCTACACTCAATGTGTCGGTAGTGTTATACTCTATACTCAATGTGTCGGTAGCGTTATAGTCTATACTCAATGTGTCTGTAGCGTTATAGTCTATACTCAATGTGTCGGTAGCGTTATACTATATACTCAATGTGTCGGTAGTGTTACGGTCTATACTCAATGTGTCGGTAGCGTTATACTCTATACTCAATGTGTCGGTAGCGTTATAGTCTATACTCAATGTGTCGGTAGTGTTATAGTCTATACTCAATGTGTCGGTAGCGTTATAGTCTATACTCAATGTGTCGGTAGTGTTACGGTCTATACTCAATGTGTCGGTAGCGTTATACTCTATACTCAATGTGTCGGTAGCGTTATAGTCTATACTCAATGTGTCGGTAGCGTTATAGTCTATACTCAATGTGTTGGTAGTGTTATAGTTTATACTCAATGTGTCGGTAGTGTTATAGTCTATACTCAATGTGTCGGTAGCGTTATAGTCTATACTCAATGTGTCGGTGGCGTTATAGTCTATACTCAATGTGTCTGTAGTGTTATAGTCTATACTCAATGTGTCGGTAGCGTTATAGTCTATACTCAATGTGTCGGTAGTGTTATAGTCTATACTCAATGTGTCGGTAGCGTTATAGTCTACACTCAATGTGTTGGTAGTGTTATAGTCTATACTCAATGTGTCGGTAGTGTTATAGTCTATACTCAATGTGTCGGTAGTGTTATAGTCTATACTCAATGTGTCGGTGGCGTTATAGTCTATACTCAATGTGTCGGTGGCGTTATAGTCTATACTCAATGTGTCGGTAGCGTTATAGTCTATACTCAATGTGTCGGTAGTGTTATAGTCTATACTCAATGTGTCGGTAGTGTTATAGTCTATACTCAATGTGTCGGTAGCGTTATAGTCTATACTCAATGTGTCGGTAGCGTTATAGTCTATACTCAATGTGTCGGTAGCGTTATAGTCTATACTCAATGTGTCGGTAGTGTTATAGTCTATACTCAATGTGTCGGTGGCGTTATAGTCTATACTCAATGTGTCGGTAGTGTTATAGTCTATACTCAATGTGTCGGTAGTGTTATAGTCTATACTCAATGTGTCGGTAGCGTTATAGTCTATACTCAATGTGTCGGTAGTGTTATAGTCTATACTCAATGTGTCGGTAGTGTTATAGTCTATACTCAATGTGTCGGTGGTGTTATAGTCTATACTCAATGTGTCGGTAGTGTTATAGTCTATACTCAATGTGTTGGTGGCGTTATAGTCTATACTCAATGTGTTGGTGGCGTTATAGTCTATACTCAATGTGTCGGTAGTGTTATAGTCTATACTCAATGTGTCGGTAGCGTTATAGTCTATACTCAATGTGTCGGTAGCGTTATAGTCTATACTCAATGTGTTGGTAGTGTTGTAGTCTATACTCAATGGGTGTTATAGTCTATACTCAATGTGTCGGTAGCGTTATAGTCTATACTCAATGTGTTGGTAGTGTTGTAGTCTATACTCAATGGGTGTTACAGTCTATACTCAATGTGTCGGTAGCGTTATAGTCTATACTCAATGTGTTGGTAGTGTTATAGTCTATACTCAATGTGTCGGTAGCGTTATAGTCTATACTCAATGTGTCGGTAGTGTTGTAGTCTATACTCAATGTGTCGGTAGCGTTATAGTCTATACTCAATGTGTCGGTAGTGTTATAGTCTATACTCAATGTGTCGGTAGCGTTATAGTCTATACTCAATGTGTCGGTAGTGTTATAGTCTATACTCAATGTGTCGGTAGTGTTATAGTCTATACTCAATGTGGGTGTTATAGTCTATACTCAATGTGTCGGTAGCGTTATAGTCTATACTCAATGTGTCGGTAGTGTTATAGTCTATACTCAATGTGTCGGTAGTGTTATAGTCTACACTCAATGTGTCGGTAGTGTTATAGTCTATACTCAATGTGTCGGTAGCGTTATAGTCTTTACTCAATGTGTTGGTAGTGTTACTAAGAAAACCTTTTTTACCTTGTCCGTCTATGGAGGGAGTTCTCCTCCCGTCAGAGTGGTAATCATCAGGAGGTGGAGCATTAAGGTTCATGGCTGATGAACGTTGCATATCATCCTGGAAATAGGACTGTGGAGGCCCATCATGGTCATCAGGATATGCAGGCCCGTCTCGGCTATCATTACGATCATCTAGGTACTGAGGTGGCTGCTCATTGTATTGTCCTAAACAGAAAAACATTAGAGAAATACTGGGTATTCTTTACATACCAGAAACATATCCGTATGGTGCATACTATGATGAAGTCTGTAAGATCAGAAAACCTCTGTATTTACTCTCTTATGTTCTTATGTTGGAATTTCTTTCATTTATTGCCAGAACCAAAAAAACCCCCCAAAAAACCCCAAAAAACAACAACATAGTTTATCAATTAGCTTGTCTAAAAACAATCTACAGTAAATTTGTTTCACTAACTGCTTATTGTATCTGGTGCATTTTGTATCGAGGTATATTACAGGACAGTTAGTGCATTTTCAGCAACAAATTCTACTTATTATATATAATACATGATAATATTTTCAAACATGTTTCAATGTTCATATATCGCCAAAGAAAATCTTCATTCTGACAGGATATATATCAATACTACCAATAATTACAATAAAGAACACATAATCAATATCATTGTATGACTTGGAAAATGATGAAGTGGACTGCCACCAAAAAAGTATCAAACTCAACAGATTTATCTCCCCTGACTTACTCAGTAATCAAGTACAATACTGGACCTTATAAATGATGTGGTCATGTAGAAGAACATAGGAAAATTAATTGATCACCTTAAAATAGTTGGTAAGAAGCTCTACACATAGGAAAGGAAAAATATTCAATTTATAAGAATTTTTTGTGCTATTTTATTGGCAATATTTTATGAAATTACTATGGACATTGATAAAGCAGACAAGATTTTACCACAAACTGAAAAAGAAATTCATTATAATGATCATAGATCTAAAGGGTAAAACAGACGTGATCTATATCTATGCACTGCTGCTAATGCTATTATTGTTAAGAATCACAATGTATATTTTCCATATATCTCTACATTTGTGTTTTTATCAATATCTGTAGATTTATAAAGAGCACTAAATAAGCTAAATATTTGCTGGATATTTATATTAACACTTATCTTTTAACTATAAACTAGAGTAAAATTTACATCCCTTATACATTACAAACTACCAAGAACTAGAGTACAAATTTCTGTCATGTCTGTCTCGAATGACAGATTTTGAAGTCAGAAGAGAAACATCCAAAATAATGTGTCTGGGTACCTTACCTTGGTAACGATCACTGCCAGCCCCTGGTGATGGGGTACGCCTACTGTATGGATCTTCGTCACGATATCGTAAATCACCCTGTGAGGCACGGTAACGTTCCTCTGCTGCAGCTATCGCAGCCTTCTGTTGGAATGGATCATCAGCAAACGGATCCTGTGGAACATCAGGTAAGCCATCATGTTTATTTGGGCTGTACGGGTAATCATCATAATTACCAAATGTTGGCTCACCCTCAAACCTGTCACTTGGAGGCAGGTCTCTATATCTGTCCTCCATAGGGGGCGGGGCCCCATGGGGGTCATCTAATGACATGTCACGGAACCTGTCATCTGGGGGCATGTACTGATTCCCAGGGACAGGGGATTCCCGGTAACCACTCTCAGGTGCATAGTTGTCACCTGGAGGACCTCTGTATCGGTCATCATCAAAGGAGTTTTCCTTGTAACGGTCATCCATTTGTGGTGGCGCTCCGGTATAAGCACCTGTCTCGTATAGTGGGGGTGGGTCCCCATAGGGGTCTCCAGGATTACGGTACGAATCACTCCGACTTGGGGGGTCAATCATAGGTCCACCCCGAGACAGATCATTTCTGTCCCCTAATGGCGAGTCTCTGTAGAATGAATCACCCCCTCGAGAGTCCTCATAATTTGGCTGGTCCCCATAAGGGTCCCTATTAACAGGGTGGTGGTTGTAGGGGCTTATATCCTCTGGTGGGGGCTGATTGTAACTCCCTCTACCTCCTGAAGGTCCCATGTCCCTAATGAACAAAACAACATTGATTATCTAATAAGTAATTGGAGTTTGATTTGTCTGTGTTTGAAATTATTTTCTTTACTTCATAATATGTTTAATGCTACAACATTTTGTATTTTTCACATCAGATGAAAAGAAAAACAATATATTTGCATACTATAAGAAAATTTACCTAAAGAGTATTGCAAGACATTTTTTAAAAGAAAAAAGAAAAAGTCAGCACATAAGATAATAATTCCTTTCAATTAGGAAAATTTCAAAAAAGAAGTTCCTATGCAAACAATGATCTGAATTATATTGCATTGAAATGATTAGTAAAAGTAAATAATGGTTAGTAGCTATATTACTGCTGGTACTATATCATAAAATGCAATAGCCAGTACAAACACATCCTCAATATAAATCCAGCCCACATTCCCATAGACTAGTCAATGTTTGTATCTGATGTCAACACATCCTAAATATAAATCCAGCCCACATTCCCATAGACTAGTCGATGTTTGTATCTGATGTCAACACATCCTATATATAAATCCAGCCCACATTCCCATAGACTAGTCGATGTTTGTATCTTATGTCAATTCCATTTTTTATTCTCATGGATAGATAGTTCAGCTTTGATTTCTGTATACAGGATTCTCAATGTCTATCTCATATCTAGTCTTCTTTCCATCCCTTGTTGTAAATATGGTTAAAATTGAGTTAAAAATAGAGTTGTGATTCTCAATGTCTATCTCGTATCTATAGTCTTCTTTCCATCCCTTGTTCTAAATATGGTTAAAGTCAAGTTGTGATTCCCAATGTCTATCTCATATCTAGTCTTCTTTCCATCCCTTGTTGTAAATATGGTTAAAATTGAGTTAAAAATAGAGTTGTGATTCTCAATGTCTATCTCGTATCTATAGTCTTCTTTCCATCCCTTGTTCTAAATATGGTTAAAGTCAAGTTGTGATTCCCAATGTCTATCTCATATCTAGTCTTCTTTCCATCCCTTGTTGTAAATATGGTTAAAATTGAGTTAAAAATAGAGTTGTGATTCCCAATGTCTATCTTGTATCTACAGTCTTCTTTCTGTCCATTTATCAATTTCCAATGTCTATCTGATATTAATGTTTAGCAATATGCCTGCCTCTGATTCTGATGTTTAAAGTCTCATGTCTTTTTGCCATTCGCATATCAAGCTTCTCTTTGATATAGGATTATTGTAGTCTATCTACGACTGGTTCCTGAATAGCTTTCCTGGAATTCAAATCTCTAGCTATGCTTCCTATTTCTAGCTATTATTCTGTGCCCTGCAAGCAATCTCATATTAAGCTGATATCCTTGCTAATTTCCCAATCCATGTCTAGCTATGGGATGCTTGTCCTTCTCATTCTATTGCTGTCACTTCCTTATAAACAAATTAACTCACATGTCAATCAAAGCTTAAGATGTACACAAGCTCATCTTTCATAAACACAGACTTATTAATAATATAGAAGGTAACCATATCAATTCCGTGCACACCAAGCTGTGTGAAAGGCATGTACATTATCTATTCTTATATATTGGAAAAACAATCAGATTGTATAATGAAAAATTGTTAGTCATGATATTTTGCTTAACAATGACAGAAGAAAGCAGAACAAAAATCAATATATATATATCAAGTATATGGAAAATAAAATTAAAAAAGTGCAGTTATAAGTAAGATTTATAAAAAAAAAAAAAAAAAAGTTTCCAAAAGGGGAATGTGACTTGAAGGATGATTCAACCAACATACATACAATAGATAACGGTGATAGACCAAGGGGAGACTACTCCTCATAACTTTAAATTCTGTGATAAAGACTAGTCCTTGGCTTCAAGGCCAGTGTATCTCTGGATAAATCTGTATACGACAAGCTGGCATGCTGACCCAACTCTTGTGCTCTAACCCACAATTGTGAAAAGCAATATAATCTTGAATCAAAGGAAGGAGGGACATAATGTTCTGATCCACACCTAGAGTGACACTAAACTTCAAAAAATACAAAAAATAAGAGGGGGGGATATGTCTATTTTGACATGCCTTGACCAAGGTTACACATACATACACCATGCACACATGCAATTCTGCCATGATCCTTGTTACTGCTGTTTTCTTTTAATGTAATTTCCCCCCCAAAGTTGTTTTTATAAATCACTAACTTAAATATTGGCTATATATGTACATTCAGCCCCTTCAAAATCTCAAAAACAAAAGAAAAAAAATTATGATTTGGAAATCTATATCGTTGTTGAAACTGATAATAATCATAAACTTTTTTCACAGAACTGCAACACTGGATAACCTAGCTTAAATATTCATGATGGAAATGAATGAGCAAAATAAAAAGGAAAATGGCAGAGTTTGGGAGACTATTAATAGTCCATCGTCATGGGTACCAGACCTGCATGCTCATCTGGCTGAGCAAAGTTCTGTATATCCCACAATGCACTTGCTAAATTTTTCTTTCCTTCTTCCATATAAAACTCATTTTGTTAATTCAAATTCCAAAAATGTTTGACTGAAAACTATGAACACAATTTTATTACAACATCTCAGATAAAAGCATTTCCTTTTAATTCAGGCATGTTTTAGTTCTCTATATAAAGTCTCAGATGCAAAATACTCATGCATGTTTTCAAAAAAATTATATCAGACAATTATCAGGAAATTGCATGATCCAATTCACACAAATCATTGAATATGATAAAAAGATATCACATTGTCTTAATCTAAAAAATGTTAGAAATTCAGTTAAAAAAAAAATCACTTTTATATCACAAAGACAAGATCATTTTTGCTAATTAGATCAGATCAGTCTGTTGATGGTTTGGTTGGCTTTGTGGGATAAGTTGTACCTATGATCATGGTGACTATAGGGGTCGTACTGTGGCCTCTGTAAGCTGTCATTAGATGCTAGACTGTAGCGGGGCGACTGATCGCCATACTGATCAGGGTCGCCACCATAGTTGTTGAACCTTGAGGGACTGGGCGGATCCTGTCCAGGAGACATGGCAGAGTAGGACATGTAGTTGTCATTGGGCTGTTCCCGTGGTAACGATGACATGGATCCTTGCATGCCCGGACCATTCATGGCCTACAATCAACAAACACGTCAACTTGTAACACATTGTTGGCTTAAAATATTATATTATACTTGATTGAAAATCCATGAATGTTTCTCTACACAATCTTGACATTCAACAGATTTCTACTGATGGTTTTCCCATATTGACAAAGATAAAAAGATGGCCTTGAGGATGTCAGTGGTTCAAGGTGACTGTTTTCACTAATGTGTTAGTGTTATCAATTACTGTCCTAAATCAATGTGATCTGTTTCTACCTAAGGGTCAATACTATGACTGATCTATCAGAGAGGACACTAACACCATTAGGATCAAGTCAAACAAATATGTGCCTCAGTTTTCAACACTTAAGTTAGTCTCTGATGTTTTCTATCATCATTACGGTAAAAATGTTCAAGACAAGGTTATGGAACATTGAAAAGATATGGTTCTAAAGCTGTAAGACGGAAATATCACTGTCATTAGAGACACATATACTTAATGGGAAAGGCCTCGAACCACTGTTTAATAGGAATTCTTACAATCTTATTACTAATAATATCTGAGAAATGGCTATCATTCATAAAATATATCTACAGGACAAACATAAAATTCATGAATAAAGCTAAAAATTTATTTTTGAAACAATGTATCATAGCATCAAAAAGCACACTGTGTATCAGTTAATATCATTTGCTTATTGAAAAGTATCCTACTCTATGGATGTTGGGTCTGAATTACCATTCTGTAGAGATATATGATGGGGCAGGTATACAGAAGGTGGGGAGGAGAGAAGATGTAACAAGGATACTCCATTCTAAGAGCAGGTGATGGCTGAGGAGACAATGTTAGGGAAGAGATGGAAAAGTGGGGTATTTACATGGTTAGGGAAGAGATGGAAAAGTGGGGCGTTTACATGGTGTGTTAAATATGTAGTAACATATAGTAAAGAGACGGGAAAGGTAAGAGGGAGATCTTTCTACTCTGCCCTTCTGATTTCTAGGTTGCTGAAGGCCCAAAAGACAAATTGACACAGCGTAAAGGAGACATATATGCAGCATTCACAGACATTGGTAACAGTTGCTCCTGATACATAGTTAGGGTAACCAGATCAAGAATGGAACAGATCAGGTTTAAAAGTGAAGGGTAAAAATACAGATCTAGGATGGCAGTTTTAGCAAAAGGTAAAGGGAGAGATACAAATCTAAGATGATGGTTGAAGTGGCGACAGATTCTCATGGATCTTGGGTAATAACCAGAGTGGGGACTGATATGTACATTTCTAGTGTGACAGTTGTTATATACTCACATTTCTAGGGTGACAGTTGTTATATACTCACATTTCTAGTGTGACGGTCGTTATATACTCACATTTCTAGTGTGACGGTCGTTATATACTCACATTTCTAGGGTGACGGTTGTTATATACTCACATTTCTAGGGTGACGGTTGTTATATACTCACATTTCTAGTGTGATGGTCGTTATATACTCACATTTCTAGGGTGCGGTTGTTATATACTCACATTTCTAGTGTGATGGTCGTTATATACTCACATTTCTAGGGTGACAGTTGTTATATACTCACATTTCTAGTGTGACGGTCGTTATATACTCACATTTCTAGTGTGACGGTCGTTATATACTCACATTTCTAGGGTGACGGTCGTTATATACTCACATTTCTAGGGTGCGGTTGTTATATACTCACATTTCTAGGGTGACGGTTGTTATATACACACATTTCTAGGGTGACACATGTTATATACTCACATTTCTAGGGTGACGGTTGTTATATACTCACATTTCTAGGGTGACGGTTGTTATATACTCACATTTCTAGGGTGACGGTTGTTATATACTCACATTTCTAGGGTGACGGTTGTTATATACTCACATTTCTAGGGTGACGGTTGCTGCCTGAGCTCTGTAGAGATAAGTGTGAAGAGTGAGGGGATCTGCTATCAGCAAGGTACTGGGGGTTGCCCCCGTTCAGAGCGCCCGGGGAATAATTCTGATTGTAGGGGTCACTGTTGTATGGAATGCGTCCATGGGAACTATAGGGGTCATCTTGAAGGTAATCCATGTTGTCTTCACTGCTAACAAAGCAAAAACAAAACTTTGAATAATAAATGAAACAAGTAAATATAGATATTGTTGGGTTTATTTTACTAGACACTGTCAGGCAAATACAGACATCATGTTTGTAAAGTGATGATATGCATGAAAGGACGTAGGCAAATGTTGTACTGTCTATTGTAAATTAGATTTTTAGACTGTTTTCCTATATTTTCAGTAATTAGATTAATCAAGTTTTACTTCGTTTGTTGCAATGCCTTAGTTATATTTGTATGCTCTGAATGTTCTGGGCTGAATACAATGCATGATTTGTCACCTTGAAAAAAATTCTATATAATCTAATTAACAATGAGATGAGAATTTTGCCAAAAATAAATATACTGGTTAACAATTAACTGCCAATCCTCCCTTGGGGTAAGAATGGAAATTCTGAGAATGTGTTTTCCATTATCACGTTTCAGGATATAAACAAATCCTTTCTTTATAGGTTTGACGTGTCCTTACCATTACAAGCTGCAAACACATTAACAAGGATGCTGATTTCTTTTCTGAAACTACCTGCCTTAGGAAGTTGTTAAAGACGTTAAAAAGGAGGTGTAAAGCAAATAACTGTTAGATTTAATTTGGTAAAAGTGGTATAACATGAAATTCCTGTAACAATTTTCCAGTTTGTCGCACTAAACTTCATGTACCTTTGAGAACTAGGGGTGCCCTGCTTACCTGCTTGTGCAGATTAATCCAAATATGGTACTAGAATTCAGAGTGCAAAAGTACTTAATTTGACTCGTCATTTTCATCTCATATTAATGTACATATACTGCACATGGGAAATATTTTGCTGCCTATTAATTTTTGTCCGTTTTCACCTATTTGTAAATTCCTGTTTTAAGGGTACTTGATAGGAATATGTATGACTTTTCACATGCAGTACACTAAATACAGACAAGTCACAACACATTACCATCATTACACCACACTAGGTATGCTAGCATGCTGGAGTGAGCCTCTCATCAGCTACAATACACTTATCAAAACACCATCCTAAAACAACAGATCTATGTTCTTATCAACATTCTAGGCTTACACCTACAGCGTCAATGAAGAGTAGAATTTTTCAATTTTCTGTTTTTACATGGCAGTCGCTGTTAGAAGTTATTACCAAAACACCAGTTATGTAATAAGGAAGGGGGAATTTTTCATTATTTAATAAACTGTCACTGTGGTATATTTGCCAGTTACTATAGAGTATACACTGCAATAACATTGTCTACAACTATAAATATACAGGGTCACAGCCACGCCAGTCAACATTCCGACATCCACGGCATGCCAAGTGAGAGTAAACTGTCTTACCGTACGTACCCTAAGTTCATAGCACCTCGATCCTCCAACTCACGCCTGTAACAAAAAAATCATAACAATAATCTCACGAAAATAAGGCTCCTGCAAAAACTGAAAAACAAATCAATAAATTGACAAGTAATGATACAATCTATCCTGTACATCAGAGATCCTGTAGCTAACATAAGCTTAGCCTCTGGTTACATCATTTTCTCATTCTGATCTGTACCCATTTCATCGCTATGTAATGTTTTTAATTGTGTGAAGTAGGCAGATATAAGACAAAGAATACCTATATACTGATGATAACTCTATTTAAACCCTTTCATAAAATTCACCCAATTTTTACTGAAAAAAACCAGTAGGTGAGAAACCTAAACTCAAGACAATAATTAAGTAATCAAAAGTCTCCTTCTCTCTACCAACAACTTCAACCAAAAATACAACTATTGCTGTGTCAAGCAGACATGATTTCAGGTGTAACACTAACAGAAGAGATGAAGGCGATGACTATGTGGTTATCAGTAACTACGGAGACTATACCTATGACAAGGTACTACCCCCATCCTGGGTACCCTACGTCGTCCACGCCAGGAGACAGATGTCTGCTTTGATAGCATGTCCCCATTGGTAGCAGGTACGTAGCGACATGGGACAGGTGCATGATTTGTTAGCATGTCCCTTTTGGCAGCAGGTAGGTTATGAAAGGACATATACCCTGTCTCAACCTCTCAACACTAGGCAAAGGACTTCCAGACGGACTTAAATCCCAGAATGGCTTTCATCGTAAAGATAAGTATTAACAGTGAATGTTCTAGTATGTCTGTCGTCGTTGTTTTAATATGGTAGGTGTCCCTGAGCGTCCGTCGTCATAGCCTGTGCTTATATTGCTATCACGACATTCCTCTGAAAAGCTCTCAAGTTGGGAATATGCTGTGGTCAATAGTCTGTGAGTCTTGCACTTTTCCTCTTGTAGTATTTCCAAAGCACTTAAGTGTTTATCACAAAAACATCTGACTATACCAGAACGGTAGAAAATGTTGACAAAGTGCTTTAAACCCATCCAGTGACATTCAAGGACATTCTATCATGTAGATCAGAATCCACATCATAAAGCTAGGCCAAATGGAATATTTTAACACAGGCATATAGTTCCCAAGCAAACATCAGCAACCAAAGGTTATGGTTACTGAGGAATTTGATACAGCAGTAATCCAGGTGAAAGTTACCACATCTGTTAAAACTCCTTCTGTTGCTGTTACAGCTCCTGGAAAACATTCCTGGAACAGGACCATGTTCAGAACCAGAAAGGTCAGAGGACCTGATAAGTGTATAGAGATGTTAGTCTGATCCTGTCCACATCAGAGGTGTGTAGGAGAAGTGAATACTATCTCTATAGTAACAGCTCTAATCCCTTGGGACGCCACAGTTACAGCAATCCCACTCATTTCACTCAGGGTTTTTTTCTCTCCCCCTGTTGCTTCAGATTTTTTTTTCTCCACCGCGTCCTCCTTCCACTTCATGATCACAGGACCATGTTTTTAACTCATCAGAGTCATCACTTCAGGTCTTGTGACCTCAAAAGACCCAGACCCTATTCTTAACACAAACAAACCATTCTATTCACCGTTAATTCATCAGAACTGCAATGGCTTAATCACACACATATGACTGTAATTTAGAGCATTTATTTCTTATTTATGTCTGGACGGGCTATAGAGCCCCGTATATCACTCTATAGTCACTACAACAATGCACATGTACTCCACGTGGTGCTGCGATGGTCATGTGACTGGTCCGTCCTGTAATCTGAATTCTGATGAGAACTGATTACATAACAACAGACAAGGAATGGGGAATTTATCTCCATAATCAGCATATATACAAGCCTAAATGACTATAAATGATAGTAACAAGCCCTGTTTCTCTGTGTTGGTTTCATTACTGGTTCACATTGGCTATCCAAAACACCCCAGATGTGTCAAGTACATGTATATTTAGCAAATTCTACTCAAACAACTTTTTTTAGACAAAATTAACTAACATATGGTACAAAATTTCAATGTTATCACTTTTTTACCAAACCTCCATGCTCCCAACCCCCTAATCTGTGAAAAAAAAAACCACCAAAAAACTCACTAGAACATCTCTTTCCCTCCATCATATGTAACCTTAGCAATGACCCAAACTTCAAATTAACTTAATGGCATCCAAAATCCAGACTCAACATGCTGATATTGGTTGGTACATTAAACAAAGTCTCTCCATTAGTGTCACCATCAAAAGCATTGGGACAGTTCTACAGCCATCTTATCAATGACGGTGGCTAATCATAACAGTTCCATACTTTAAACTTCCCAATTAAAATTCTTCTCTAACTTAGTTTACAGCTAGAAATACTATAATTTATACATAAATGTTGTAAAATTGGTTTAGAACCTCCACATCTATCTTACTCTCTAGTTCATCATGGAAGAATTGTTTGATTTAATTTTAATACTTGTTCAAACAGGAATATTTCATGTCTTACCGTAGTACAGGTTTTATATCCATAATGCATCTATGATAGATATACCTGTCAAAGGATGAGTATTTTCAATACCATCAATAAAATCTTGTGTGTTGTGAAAATTTCAATGATAATTTTACAAGAGATAAATTGACCATGTCACCTACACCAGTTTTGATTCACACAGCCAGTTCCTGAACCTCATTAAAACCCTCCATAGTCTACCATTCCAAAGACTCTACTAACTGTAATTATTTTGAACGTATAACTTTTTACAACCAATCAATATTTTTTGGTCGTGTAATTTCCCTGGCCTCAAACTTCATTACACATGGATAAAAGTGAAGGCCATGGCATATGAATCTGTCCAAATGTGTTGTCAGTTGTAGGTCAACGACTCGATAATCTTCAACTTATGATTGAGAATATTCAAATCTACTTGAAAATAAATCTTAATGCAGATTATTTGCTCAAAAAAAAAAAACAAAAAAAAATCCTATGAAGAAAATGTTCATGTTTGAAACAGAAAATCAAAAAGTTGAAGTTCAGCATACTTGTAAAATTGAAGTTAACCATTGTCAAGGTATTTCTGAACAGGTGATCAATCAGTCCTACCTACAAGTCTCTCCAACAAGTAAATTTCAGATATATAAATGGTTGGGTAAAAGGATGAGACAAAGCATGTGGCTCCTTTCATAACTTGTTTCCATGACAGGTACACTGCGACCTAATCAGTCGCCGCACTGAAAATCAATTACAGGCCAGCTAAATATTTCAGTCCTCTCTGTATAGAGCACAAACCCTAAATACTTGTGTTTCCACTTTAAGGTAACATACCTTAAACAGTTTAATTTTCTCTTTTTGTCAAACCCTGAATATTTCAATTTTCACTTTAAAGCTGTAATTTAATTTTCTATCCTGGTCAAAATTGTTCCTGCTAAAGTACTGTTTCTAGGATAAGATATTCCTGGTATGATTTGCTGTCCTTAATGGCACTTAAACTCAACGGTCCAAATCAGAAGTTCCAGAGCAGAGAATCTCTCACTTTCATTCAGGATAGAAACAAGATGTACTACAACAACCACAGGGGGCACTTCTGGTGTAAATGAAACCATACTTTCACCTGTCAAGGAAGACATCAACACAATCCTGCTACAATCTGAAGGCAGGAGGAAGAGCCCAAAAAGAGATTGAACAATTTTAAACTTACAGAGGAATGCTGATAATTGACACCCTATTAAGTCTGTATGCTTTTTTGGTGCATTTGGATAAAAGAATTCCTGTATAAAATTGATTTTGTTTGGTGTACAGGTAAAAAGATATATAATATATTGATCAATTGATCATAATATTAAAAGTACATTGGAAACAAGTGAAATGTGAAATACAGAACAGCAGATCGGTAGAAATTTTGGAGGGTGGTTAACCCAGTGCTTGTTCAGTCAGTTTTAGAAAATATTTACATTAGCAGAGTTTAACCACATTAGATGGCAAGCTGTCCCAGATGTCCACATCTCCACTGACATATTTTCTTAACAAACCTGTCAAAATCTTTTTGATGGAAAACAAGCAAACTTAAATGTGATTATTGGAACTTAAGGCGACCTTACATGTGTTGTGAGGTTCTCAATACTTGGTAGTAATCATCACACTAAAATAAGTCCTAATATGGCAGACTGGACAATTAATCATTGATGACCTGGCTGGGCTAAAGGATACCTACAATATATCTAAGACAGTTCTACGATCTGTCTGAGACACTGTCTTGTAGCACTTTTCTCCTCCTTATACATTATGTACACCTTGTGCTCTAACTCAATTTACAAATGTGAGTTCTGCTGAAAAGAGCTATCTACGGAGGCAGACCACAAAAAAAGGGGGGGGATGGGTTTGAACAACAATGAATGATCAAGGACCATTTAAGGTTGCTTGACTTGTAAAACTTGATCAATCTAAATGCAATCTCTTTTTTGTCATACTACAAATTTGATAATTATATATTACAGGTTATCCTATTTGTCTTTACTCTCAAATACTCCATATGAAATGTTTGTCAAAATTGTCTTTTGTGGCTTAATTTAACACCTGAAGCCAAGACATCAACATTTCAGGAAGAAAACTGAAGTGTATACCACAGAACTAATTCACTTATATCAAGTCTGATTTGCAGCATTTAATTTTTCTGGTTTGTCCACAGTCAGGAAAACAATAAAAGTTTCTACACAATGAACATTTAGGTTATAAAGTCTTGCCTACAACGTCATTTTGTTTAGACAGCAGACTGGGGTTTTGTCTATAGTAGAACTACCCAGTTGTTGTGTGTATAGGTAAACAGCTCCCAGGCTAAACACACCACAAATAGTTGGCCCAATTACCCGGTAAAAAATATATCACTTGTCAGCACTACAAGGGTACACAGTCCATTGTTGGTGGAATGGCAAAAATTCATCAGTCAGTAAGTATGGTTATCTTACCAAAACAGTCCTGAAAAACCTCGGTCATCACCTTTAATACTGATATCATGGTGAGACATACAGGTAATTAATAATGACAATCAAGGTCAGAAAAATTAAAAATAACAATGTTTATGTTCTAAGTAAGGGGTAATATTTATCATCAGAAACTTTAAGGTTAAAGTTGAGTATAAAGTTAACAGGCCATACAATTTTACTACCAACTTAATAGATTGGTAACAAACGTCAGTCATTATCAAACATTTTGTAACACTTTCCCACCACTTTAAGATAGACAAGAATCAAAGATACTACAAAGCATGAGGCAGTGAGGCAGACTTCAGTGATTTTCACAATTTTCAACGGTTGGCTTTAAACAGAAACGATCTCCTGTACATTATCTAACAAACACATGTGTGGAACAGATATGATCACTCATACCACAAGAGTTCTATACACAATATCATCTTTTGTGAATATAGTTAAAGGCAGATCTGATGACACATTTTTTCAACTCCATTCCTAAACATTTCTATAGTTAGTGGCGAGAAATTCCTTGTTTCATAACCATGTTCAAGGTAAATACTTCCTTTCATTTCCTTAATCCACGTTACACGTCAATAATTCACGAGTTTCCCATAAGATATAAGGACTGTTTTCACGGTTGATGAACATTAATTAGATTTTGCATCTATAATTATTCCAGGTATTGACAGACAGGTGAAATATTAATATTGCCCCATTATCCTAGCCATGCCTACCCATCTTGAACTCAGGAAGTAAGCACCATAGACATTGTAAAGACTTCCGTTAAAGCTATCCTTTAATATTTTCATAAGGTTAATATTTCTCAACTTTCTTAATTTTTTTCCTACAACATTATTTCATGAAGCAATGGTTTCATTTTCAGTAAACCCATTAGTATCCACAACTGTCCTATTTTAAAAACTTTCACAATTTGCCAGTGAACAGTTTATACAATTAAAGCTAACCTGCTACACATTGTAAAGCTATTGGCCCTTGTGCTCCACTGTGCACTGTCCATGTCTTACATGCAGAACAAGTTGGGGCAGAATTCCAACTTGTCACATCAGCAATAAATCAAACCTTTATAGGATTTTGCTTGCCAAATACATGTTTTATCAGAGCTCTTAAGAAAATGTACTTATTCAAATACAAAGAATCAATAATACACGTTTTAGGGGATGGAATAATATTTGTTATGTTGTAAAAGTTATCTTTTAAAACCATGGTACTTAACTGCACGACTGCTACAAAGGTTTTAGTTCCGTTTTTCATTTACAAATAGGCAGATAATTCACAAAACATTTATTTATGATTTTACTGTACTTGTAAAATGTGCACAAGATACTGTATTGACTATATATATATGCAATAGTGCTCTGTAAGGTAATTTGTGTAAATAAAGAAACTCCTTGCCCACATATGTTTGAGTCATGGTTGTAATTTTACTTCCACACCCTGCGATGAGACAATCAACTTACTTTTATAGGACCTATGTCACAATGTGACTCACGAACATCCAGTCAAATCATAGCTAAAAACATGTACTGACTAAAGGTTGTGTGTAAAAACAGTAATAAGGGAAAAAGACACAAAAAGCACTGGTGATT